TGCTTTTTAAGTGGTGGCAACTAATTATTTTTAAACTGTACCAGAAAGATAAAAGCCATCTGTGGGCCATATTCAGCCAGTGCTTTCTAAAGCTTATGGAAGCCCCTGGGGATTTTTAACTAGGGAACATTATGGTCTGGTCTGGATTTTTGGAAAAGTTCTTTCAGAGCCTATAGAAAACAAACGAGGGGGAAGTTGGACAGGGAGCAGGGAACTAATGAGAGCCTGACTGTGACACCAAGGTCCAGATGGCAGTAATGGGGGCATGACCCAAGTACCAGGGTCGGGATAGGAAGACTGAGAAAAATTAGCTACAAAACTGTGAGCTCTAGATGGCCCTGTGCACCTGGTTTGATGAGTGAGTGAGTGACCTGCGTGCCCAGGCGGGGTATGAGGTTGGCAAAGACAAGGTGGAGACTGTGTGGCTGGAGGGTGAGGGGAACAGAGCTGTCACCTCTAAGACCCTTCTTGCTGGATTATGGAAGAGATAGTGAAGTTCTAAGAAGGGCAGGTGTCTAGGACACTGTCCCTTTTGGTTTTCAGGGTGATCAACAGGATGAAGAGGAAGAGACCCAGATGAAGAAGTCAGAATCAGAGGTAGAGGTGAGAGCTGGGGTACATAGCAGGTGAGACATGTAAGGGCTGTCTCCCCAGACCAGCCCAACCCTAATGCTGACTGTGCTCTCAGGAGGCAGCTGCCATTATTGCCCAGCGGCCCGACAACCCCCGAGAATTCTTTAAACAACAGGAACGCGTCGCCTCGGCCTCTGCGGGCAGCTGTGACGTGCCCTCACCCTTCAACCACCGATCAGGTAGTCCTCAGCTGCATCCCTATCCAACTCCCACTCCTCAGGTTATGGCCCTGAGCCCCTTTGGGACTCTTTCTTGGAAGAGAAGCCTTACCCAAGGACTCCTTGGAGAAGGCAAGACCCCTTACCCAGCATGCTTCTACCTGTGGCATCGACGTGGCAGGACCCCGGAAGGGCTGGGTGGTGTGGTGTGGATGTTGGGCCTTGGCTGAGGATTGGGTAGTGCCAATGGCCAGTTGGGCAGCTCTGGCATGTGTGCAGGCATACCCTGGCCGCCACCAGCAGCCTGCTGGTTGGATGAGACCTGCCCTCCAGTGCCATGGTGCATGTTGGGTCAGCTCTTGCCATGGCCCCGTGTTTGAGCCTCCTGGACCCTGAACCCAGGTTTCTCTGTTTGGCTTCTTGTGCAGCTTTACCACTCCCAAAGCTCCCTTCCATCCTTGTCTGCTGGTCTGAGTGTTTGCACCTGCTGTGTGCTTGGCCCTGATTGGGGACCTAGGGGCACAGCAGGTTGTCCTCCGTCATGCTGCTGCTCAGAGGGCTAGCTGTGTGTGGCCGGCTCATGGCTGTGTACTGTGTCTGGTGCTGGTGGGAGGCATCTGATGGCTTGAGGCTGTGGCCCAGCTTGGCTGAATTTGCACCTGGCTGAAAGCAGCTTGGACATCCAGAGTGGCCCTGGGGGTGGGTGAGGCCTCAGGGTGGGGGTTGGGGGAGACTGACCCTCTCTTGTCCTCTGTCTCTTTCTCTGTCTGTCTCTCTTGGCAGGTCGTCCGTACTGCCCTTTCATAAAGGCATCGGACAGTGGGCCTTCCTCCTCCTCTTCCTCCTCCTCTTCCCCTCCACGGACTCCCTTTCCCTATATCACCTGTCACCGCACCCCAAACCTCTCTTCCTCCCTCCCATGTAGGTAGCAGCCCCAGGCCTCTGTGGGGGGGTAAGGAGGGTCCCGCTTCCCAGCAGCCCCCTCGCCCTCACTCCGCAGCCTGACTGCTGACCTCTGGTGTTTGTCCCCCGAGCAGGTACTGCCTGCCTCTTGCCCCGGGCCCTGCAGGGTCTGGAGCTGTGGTCTGGCCCCTGTGGGGCTTGGGGAGCTCACAGCCCCCCACGCAGACTCCAAAGATGAGATGCGTGCCAGGCCCCAAGGTGGACAATCCTAGTCCCTCTTGGCTCCCCCACTCTCACTGACCAACCTGGGGGTTTATTTCACAGGCAGCCACCTGGACAGCCACCGGAGGATGGCACCTACCCCCATTCCTGCCCGGAGCCCATCTGACTCCAGCACAGCCTCGACCCCTATCACTGAGCAGATCGAGCGGGCCTTAGATGAGGTCACATCCTCGCAGCCTCCACCACTGCCACCACCACCCCCACCAGCCCCAGGTGAGAGAGGAGCCCCACATGCACTGGGCTTACATTAGGAGCCCCAACTTGTCTTAACTCCCCAGGGATCTAGATCACCTGTCACCAAGGCTGCAGTAACTGTGGCAGGGAGGAGGAGCCCTGGCATTGCAGTCGGAGCTGCTCTGTATAAACCTTAGAATCTCATGTCTAAAGTGGAGGTCAGAACTTCCTCCGGAGTCTGTTGAATGGTTTAAAGATACAAGGTAGAGTGATATTGGGGCATAGTTGGTGCTGAATGATGGCCCATGTAAAAGTCTTGATGGAGGTGTATTTTCCCAGCTGTCCCTGACTCCCTTTCTCCTTAGGGAAGGGCAGGGTATTATAGAGAGGGTCTCCTTCCTTTTCCAAGGGGGTTGATTGCTTCTGTCTGTTCCACCTGTGCTGTGACAGAGACCAAGGAGCCTGGCCCCAGCTTGGACACTGAAGAAACCTGCAAGGAAGCCAGAGCAGCAGGCCTTCAAGCCTGGGCTGGTCCTACAGTGGAGGCTCCTCAGGCACAGGAGCAGCTTCCCCAGGGGCAGGGCAGCACAGCGGAGGACTTGATGTTCATGGAGTCTCCAGTGAAGGCTGCCCTGGCTGCCCCTGTAGAGCCTGCCACAGCAGATGACACTGTAGCCAACCTCTCAGAAGTTGATACCCATACAGCTGACACCATTGAAACCGCCACTGACACCGCTGTTGCCAACAATATCACCCCTGCCACTGCCAGCCTCGTTGACCTATGGCCTGGCAATGGGGAGGGGGTCTCAGCACCTCAGGCAGAACCCAGGGCCCCCACACCACCCTTGGGTGCTGAGGCCACCCTGGCAGAGGTGCCCCTGCTTGAGGAGGTGGTTCAAGAGCCACCATTGCCAGTGGGTGAAGGCTGTGCCAACCTGCTCAATTTTGATGAGCTGCCTGAGCCCCCAGCCACCTTTTGTGACCCAGAGGAGGAAGTAGGAGCGCCCTTGGTTGCCCCTCAGGCTCCAACTGTGCCCTCTGCTCTAGAGGAGGTGGATCAGGAGCCAGAGCAGGAGCTGGAGCAGGAACCCCACCTACTGACCAATGGCGAGACCACCCAGAAGGAGGGGACCCAGGTGGGGCAAGGGCAGGCTGATGTGAGGGGTCACAGTTTGGGCTCCAGCAGGGGGCAGACTGTGTTTGCAGTAGCAACCCCTTTATATCCTGACCTTATTGGGGGGAAGCTCCACTCCACTCACTCTGGTATAGCTCTGCTTTTGTTCCCAAGGTAGGCTTCTTTGTTTCCTTGGCAACCACTAATGGAATCATTGGTTGCTGGGGAAACGGGCTCCAACCTGATAGGTCAGCCCCAGCCCTGGTAGGTGGGGCCTAGTGACCGGTGGCTTTCCCCTGCAGGCCAGCGAAGGGTACTTCAGTCAATCACAGGAGGAGGAATTTGCCCAATCGGAAGAGCTGTGTGCAAAAGCACCACCTGTGTTCTACAACAAGCCTCCAGGTAGTACTGGGATGGAGGATGGGAAGGAATTGGGTTGAGGGTGCAGGGTCAGCAGCTTCCTCAACACACAGCTGACGCAGTTCCCAGAAGCTGGGCCATCTCCTTAACTCATCTTCACTCTCAATATCATAGAAATTGATATCACCTGCTGGGATGCAGACCCGGTACCAGAAGAGGAGGAAGGCTTTGAGGGTGGCGATTAGTGGTGGCTCCTGCCCTCTGGCCGCCCTCGCCAAGGCTGTCCACCTGCGCCGGCCTCTGGTCAGATGACCCACAGCGCCTGCATTTGCAGCAGCTCTGCCTGGCACCTACTCTGGATTCCGGCTCTGGCTGGGGACTTTTCCGCTTCCCTGCCCACAGGGGCCTGACTTTTACAGCTTTTTCTTTTTTTAAAAAAGTTGATAGGAGACTTGTACAGTTGACTGGTTTTCCTCTCCTTGGTAGTTGAAACGCTGTTGCAAATCCCACCCCACCCCCAACCTGGTCCAGATTGTAGCTTAGTCCTCCCCGCTCAGCTGGCCAGGGTGGAGGCCTCACCCCGCCGCTTCAGGCCTGGAGTGGGGGAAGTTCTGGTGGGAAAATGTGCCCCCACCTCTTTTCCTAGTTTTATGTTTCTCGGAAAAATACCACTTTGTATTCTCTGTCCAGGGCTTCAGATATTTTGCACGAATTTTAAAACATGGCAATAAATGGCTCGTGGGCTCTGGTTCCCTGGGACCCCTCCCTGCCCTTCTCTTGACACCTCCCTGCCTGGCCAGAAGAAAGCAGCAGGCCCAGCTGGGGCCCCTCGGCTTCCCGCCCTCTCCTGCCGGGCAGGTCCCAGGCTGGAGGCCCTATGCGTGATTCAGATCAGGGCTATGGATGGAGCCCAGGGGTTTGGGTGGTCTCTTCCCAATTCCTTCCTCATTGCTTGGGTTCCTTTTTCACGTTCAGTAACTGTTTTTTTGGAAAGCACAAACTTCTGTAACGGGTCGTGCTTATGTCTGTTAATAAAGAAATCCAGCTCCCTTCAGGCCTACTGCTCTGGGCCTCCAGGGGCTGATCTGGAGGGGCTGCCTGTCTGCCCTGACCCTGTTACCAACCCTTCCCACCTCCAAGGCCGCAGCATCTCTCTGCCACCAAAGGGTACCCTAATCGTAATCTCAAGGCAAAGTAGGTGGGAACTGAGTCCCCCTGAGGAACTAGCTTCTAGTTTCCAAACGCTGACTTAAGGTTTATTTCTACACTCCCAGTCCGGCTGGTGGCGATAGCACTCATCTGGATTCCGTCCCGCTAAGACCGAAGCATGCCTGGTCACCAGAACCTTAAACTCAAGCAGCGGGTGTCCCCTCCGCTTGTACCAAAGCAGATCACACACCTTTATTATCCTCAAAATGTAACAAACGGGGTATGAAATCCCTCCCTCCCCTCTCCCCCACAGTTCAAGGGAAGCATTTAAAAAGCCCCGCAGTCAGGCCTGGAGTTCGCCAGTGGGGCCCAGGATGCCGGGCGCCCCTCTATACGGCTGTAGTCCTCCCGAACAAGGGGATGGAGACCGGCAGGCGCCAAGCTCCGTGCTCCAGGGGTTCGCGGCTGCTGAGCTCTGAGTCGGTCCAGCTGGGGAAAACCCGGCGGCTCCGGTCGGCCTGCAGACAGAGGGCGGCGGGGCAGGGCGCCGCGGGCCGGGGGGCGCTGGGCAGATGCAGCGCAGAGGTGTAGCCCCGGTCCAGGAAGAGCGGCTTGTAGCTGGGTGGCGGCTGTTCCTGTTTTTCCGCACTATCGCGGCGGCTCAGAAAGGGCGTAACGATCTTGCGGTAGAGACCGCGCGTGTCTGTGAGCACCTCGCTGTAGGGCGGCGGCGGTTCTGCCATCAGCACCGCCTCTTCGTAACATGGTGGCTTGGACATGTCCGATTCCGCTGCAGAATGGGAAGCGGTCCGAGGGGGTGAGGCCACCGACCCCCAGCCACTGGCATAGGTCTTGACTAGGGGCCAGCCCTCAGCCCACTCCCTCTTCCCTTTTTCTCCAAGAGGCTGTGAGCAGGAGCCTCGAGCTTCCGCAGTGGCCCCACCCACCCCTGCTGGCGTCGGCCACCTAGCCAAGCTGAACACTTACCTTGGCGCGGGTAGCTCCAGGGCCGGGGAGGCACCGAGAGGTGCGGCGGCGGCGGGTGCGGCAGCGCGTGGTGGTGAGGGTGCGGATGTGGGTGCGTGTGCGGCTGCGCGGGCCCGTGGTGCATGAGGGGGTGCACATGCACATGTGGATGCGCGTGCGCCGGCGCCTCCAGGCGGCCGCGATGCGGTGGTGGCGGCGGTGCCAAGCCCGGGGGACTCCCGGCCATGCTGCCCTCGAGCTCCAGAGGCTCCAGCTCTAGGGCGCGCAGGTTCTGCTCTCGCAGTCGCTCCTCCTGGCGCCGTTTGAGACGGCGGCGCAGGAAGCTGCAGAAGCAGCAGAGCAGGACAATGAGACCCCAGATGAGCCAGAAGCCGGCGAAGCACGTGAGGAACGTGTAGGTGCCTTGGGACATCACCATGGCGGCGGCGTGTGCTGTAGGTCCTCAGCAGCTTCACTGGACACTGGGCTCCTCTGCGTGGCCCAGAGCCCGCGTCACGCTCCCAGGTGCCGCCAGCGTCATTCGGGGACCTGCGGCCGGGCGCTGCCTGCGGCGTGGCTCAAGTATTGTGCGCGCCGGCGAGGGACAGCTTCGGCGCTCAGACCTTCCCATGGCGCCGGCCTGCGCGCGGAAGTGCTTCACCCAGGACCCCGAGGGACCTGCGGGGCAGACACAGGGCGCAGTGAAGGCGCGCCGTGGCCCCTGAAGCCTACAGGCCTGCGCCGGCTTCCCGGATAGTTCCAGGGAAGCCGCCTCGGTGGGAACCCCCGCACTCCCCAGGGACCCGATGACGTCACCGGTGAGGATGACGTCACGCCCGGAGGTTTCCCTGGTAGGGTTTTCCCAGATTCTAGATCCAACCGCCACTGCCACGGAGCCCAGGTACCGCTGGGACCCAAAGCGAACCAGCAGGGGGCGTGCGAAGGCCAGACTCCAAACGCTGAGCCCTGGCGAGAGATTTGACACCCGCAACCTCCGGGTGTAGGCCACCTCAGCTCGGAAATGATTTCAGAGGTCTGTGGATACCCAAGCGCTGGAGTCTCGGCACGACTGCTGTGAGTCGGGTAAGGGCGTTCCACATTCTCGAACCCCACAAGCTGCCCTCCTGACACTCCGCTTCAGTATCCTGCCCTTGGGCCTCTGGGTCTTCCTTGCGCCAGACCAGACGGGCAGCTCCAACTGTCCCTGCATGCCTTGGCCCTGCCTTTGTTTTGCCCCTGACCAGCTGTGAGGGCGTGGGCCAGGTTTTTCCTTTCCCCCAGTCGCCTCCGCCTGCAGGATTCCAGCTTCTCCACCTCCTCCACATACGCAACCCCTCGTGGCTCCTCCACTTCATCACCAGGCTGCTGTCTGTCCCCGCCTCCCCCCCCACCATTCCTTTCCATCTCTGCAGAGAGGAAACGCAGATGAGATTTGCAAGCTCGTTCTTGGGCCCACGTGGTCCTGCACTCAGTCACTTGAGTCTGGCATCTCTAGTTCCCACCTCTCCACAGCCAGGCCAAGAGGGGCAACCTGAGAGAGGTTTGTAGCAAGGAGTCCTACCTCTCCGTTGTGAAGAATGGCAGGTCATTCCACCCTCAGGGAACACAAAGGGGACCTCCTTGGATGCTTTATACTAGGCGCTTTAACATACAACCCTTTGGGATACACAGACAGGATTGGAGGAGCAAGGGGTTTGTGCAGATAGCAGAACCTAATTTGAACCCAGGTTTGGCCACTAAACCTTACCCTGAGTGGGATGGGGGAATGGTGCGGCTTGAGCTACTTTATGGGCCTCATCTAGAACCCCCGGGACCTTCTTGCCCTTAGCACATTGAAGGTAGGTGAATTTACACTCAGTTTTGGGGCTCACAGTCAGTCTGAGCCCCAAGCTGGAAGGATGCTAGGCCACCCCACTTTCTCCCCAGATGGCTGTCTGACTCTGGGCCTGCCTTCAGCATGTGTGACTTGGTGCCCGTGCCAGTCCCTTTCACCGGGCCTGTGTTCTGGAACAGACACCCGCAGGAACAATAGTTCTGCCCACCCCCTTGACAACCCCGCCATGAGGCTGCCATGGCGACACAGCCCAGATAAAACACGATGCAGCCAGTCACTAGGAGTTAATTAAATCTGTTCTCCTTTTGCTGAGCCCTTAGGAACAGGAATTTTCAGAGGAAATTGGCATTAACCAGAAGTCCCCCTTCTTGGTAGGCCAGAAGCAGCCATGGATCAGCAAGGCACTTATGGGGCTGGGGGTAATGGGGTTTAGCTGAATTAGAAATGCCTGTCAAGAGGCAGCTCCTATGGCATATGTCTGTAGTCCCAATTACTTAGGGAGCTAAGGCAGGAGGATCATTTCAGCCCAAGAGTTTGGAGAAAACCTAGGTAACAATGAAATCCCTGCCTCTAAAAAGCTTTTTATTTTAGTACTAGGAATTGAACTCACAACTTTGTGCATGCCAGGCAGGTGCTTATGCCACTGAGCTATATCCCCAGCCCAACTTTTTTTTTTTTTTTTTTTGTCTTTTTGAGACAGGGGCTCGCTACACAGTTCAGGCCGGCCTTGAGCTCACTTTATAGCCCAGGCTAGTCTCAAACTTCCAACAGTCCTCCTGCCTTAGCCTCCAGAGTGTTGGGATTACAGGCGTGAGCCACCACACCCAGCATTCCAGCCCAACTTTTTAAAAAAATAGTGTCAAGGACCATTACTAAATGTGCTTGTTCTTCCTTCCATACAGATTATTTCTTGAAACAGGGTCTTGCTATGTAATTCAGGCCAGCCTTGAAGTATGTAGCCTAGGCTGCTCTCAAACTTGTAGCAATCCTCCTGCACCAGGATTCCAAATGCTGGGATTACAGGCATGTACCACCACACCCGGCCCATCCATTCATTATCCCATATGATCATCACCACCACCTAGTCACTGCCGGTCGTGCCAACTTGATGGATGAGGAGAAAGAAGGAAATTACTCACCCCAGATCATATACCTAATAAGGAGAAGAGCTAAGATATAGCTGGCATCTGAATTTAAATTCTATGTCCACTTTCTCTGTGTGACAAATGAGATGTATATGAAAAGTCCAGCATTTATGAGCATATTCATAAGGACTTGGCAGCTGTGTGGGAACTGGGCAGTATGGCCAGCTAGTAGCCAAAAGTACGCATTCCTGTTCTTCCACTAAGGCCCTGGAGTGCCTGACCACTGCTCACTGCTGCCTTGGACTAGCTCAGGCTGGGAAAAGGCTGTGCTGAATGAAAGAATGGCAGCTCCAGGCTTAACAAGGAACCAGGCAGGGTTTGTGGCCTGAGGATGCCCATTTTAGCAGGCTGAGCTTAGGCCAGACTGGCACAAGCCACACCCCAAATCTACTTGGTGCCATTGATACCCCTCAGCTAAGAGGTAACTATCACTGTCACATTTTATAGATTGGTCAGAGAAAGGCGGCCTCTTGCATGGGGTTTCAAGGCTGAGCAGGCTCTCTGACACCTAGCTTGAGGGGTAGAGATTTCATGCTAACCACTGTCTTATTTCTGCTGTGGCTACCACAGCCCTGCAGGGCTACAGTCTGGCCTGAAGCTTCCTTCCTTGTTACTCAGAATATAATAATCTATTCCACTACAGGTGTTTAGTAATATAGGCACTGAAAGATTCTTTCAAAATGCTCTACTGACCAGGCTAAACTTCTTGATGCCTCCCCATAAGGCTGTGCCCCTTTGCTGCTTCACACCTCTGGGTATGTTCTTGCCCCTGTCTGGGGACCCCTCAGACTCACAGCCTCTTAGCTTGAAGCCATTTGCCCAACCCCTCCAGATGGCCAGGAGCAAACACCTGCCACATGTCCAACTATGCTATTTGACAGCTGTGCCCTTCAGATGGACTTACACATAAGCCTACCATCTTACTATGTTTTGCTTCTATTTTCTTTCATTCTTGCAGGTCATGTGAACATTCCTTGGGATTCCATCTTGATTTATATACTGTGTTTTTGAGCATGACCGTGTATAGTTTTTGGCCATACTCACTGAGAACACAGTAGGGGAATGAAAGCAAGACCCTGGATGTTTTATAACCTCCACGCTGCCTCAGTTTCCTCATCAGTATGCATGGGCAAGGTTGAGCTAATCTATTGCAGAAGGCGCAGAAGTGAGCAACAGACCTTAGCTTTGATGATGGTCTGCCTGAGGGCTGAACACCACAATGTCCTAGGAAGGAGTCTTTCCATTTCACTGATGAGAATACTTGGCTCAAAGAGATTAAGCAACATCCAAGGGCCATAGGTTTTGTATTCTAGGGCCTAGCTGCATTGCTGACTACACCTACTGCATTGCTTCTCTGCATAAAGAATCCTGGCCCTTCAACTTTAGATCCCAAAGACCTGCTACTAGGTTCTTTATCTCAGCAAAGGGATCATCATTTATCCCACCTGCCAAATCCTCAGTGCACAGTGTCTGCATCTGTCTATGTCCTTGGGTTGTCCCACCACTGGCCTTTGGTAGTCAGGCCACATCCCATCTCACATAGAGTCCTACTATCATGGTTGTCACGTGCCAGACCTTTCACAGCCTTCCCACTCTCCATGCTGCCCATTTCCCCTAGGCCTTCTCCTGCCCAAACCCTCTAGTTCCTCATGGCTGCAGAAGACAGTCCTGCCTTCCACATGGTTCAGATGGATGCCTTTCAAATTTTCGTAAGCACGCAAGTTATATGAATGGCTTGTCAGGGCCAGGCCCTACTTTGGACTCCAGTGTTTGCTTCAGTAGGTCGGGGGGGGGGGGGGCGGGGATTGCATGTCTAACAAACTCCCAGCAGATGGTGGACCAAGACCTAAATTGTACCCTCTAGAATGAGTCCCTGCCAAGGCCCCTTGCCTCCTTGCACATTCCTGGAGAAGTCATTCCTGAGCCACTTTACCTGCCCCGGGCTGGATAAGAATGAAACTCAGTGATCTCAGACTGTTCAGAAATGGCCTGTGTCCAACAGAGGCTGCCTCTGCCTTGATCACCTGGCATATGGACTTGTTTGGTGCTAGCTATGGGATAGGGAAAACTTCAGGAGCTGGGTTGCCATCCACATCATTCCTGGGAAATGTCTGAAATTTGCCACCAAGTCACTGAGCAAGAAGCCATCACCCAGCATTCCGCCCTCACAGCAAACTGGGAACTATATATGTGGACAAAAGGAAAAAGACAACCTAGCAGCACAGACCAGGGACTTCGGGGGAAGGAAATCCTAGGTTTCAGGTGCTGTGGTGACCCAGTGGAGTCCTGGATCAAGGCTTGGGCTTGCTGGCACTCGGGTGAGGAGAAAGAGACTCAGACTCACAAAGACGAGGAAGGACACAGGAAAGTGTGGTGCGGTGTGAGGATAGGGTGGAGGAGGTAAGTGACGGTCACCCTGTACCAAGTGCCTTGCACACGCCACTGGTGTCTTTACAATCATGATATCAGTGACACTCAGAAGGTGGTTCTTAACATCTTTCTAGAAACAAGGATGTAGCCTCAACAAAGGTGCTGGGTCCTACCCAGCAGCATAAAGTCACATGGCTGCAGCCCTGATGAATGCAAAGTCCACTGACAGGAAGGGCATTTCAGGGAGGCACTGGTGACATATTTATACCCCCTTCAGGACCAAGGTGGAAGGACTGAACTTACTCTAGCTCCCAGTCAGCCAGGCAATGGCCTCAACCTCGTTTCCAACAAAGCTAAGGTACTGGCCTAGGGCCATGGCCTATGAGTAAAATCTCCACAACCCAACCCTGACATTGGGGAACTGCAAACTACAATGGGTGGGCGGAAAGACCCTTTGTAGGCTAGTGTCTTCTGTACTTGGCTCCCATACACTCTTGTGTATGGGAGCAAAATATTCAAAGATGAGACTGAGAAACCCTCATTCTGGTGGCTTCCTGAGCTTCCATCCCCTCATCCAGCATGAGAGTTAATTATCTGTCCTTGTAAGGAAGGTAGCCACAGTATGTATATGTGTGTGGGGTCTTCCTCTTAATGAGCCCAGGATGATGAAACGTGCGGAACCCTGAGGTGCAGCCTTGGGTTCACATCCTGTTTCTGCTCTAACTGAGCCATGTGATCATACTCTGGCTACTCCCATTCTAGAGCTGAAGTTTCTTCACCTGTAGGACAAAGGATGACGAGACCGGCCTGGCAGCGCCAAGGAAGGAGCATGATTGATGAAGATTGTGATAACATCCAAGGCCAACATAGACAGCTGAATGTGACTGACAAGACACCAGCACCGCGCAGCCGAGAGGCTCAACTGTGAAAACTGGCCCATGGGAATACACCGTATGCAGTTGGGGTGGCCCACCAACACTACCCTCACCTTACCACAGACCAAAGGCCTCACTCCTGACTTTCAGCTTGAACACAGCTCATGGATACATTTTGTTGGCCTACAGCCTGTTTTTAAAATCTTCTGAAACCATCTGAAAACCAGATTTTATGGAAAGGCCTGGACTTCTTGCTCATTGAAAAACTGGACAATCTGGTTATACCAAATCTCTATCTCACAAAAGTGACATCAATTGGAGTTAAGCACTTCCTGGCCCACCTCACTGATTCCATTGGCCCCTGGCCTGTGGAAGCACTTGGGTTTCCGACCTCTGAGCCACACTGGGTACCCATAGGGTCCAGCACTGCCTGAGTCCACCTTTGCTGTTCTCCCACAGCCAGGAATGCAAGTTGAAAAGGCACAAAACCAATGAACCAAAGACTAAGTCTTAGGGATTTCCCAGGGGGTTAAGGCAGTCCTTACTGCTTGATTTCAGCCAGAAAGAGAAAATGGAGGGAGACAGGAAGCCAGCCCGCAGCAGCACAATCCTATAAAGCATCTGAGACTGCAAGAATCTGGCTGATTTTGCTGGAAGAGGGAAAGGTGTACAAAGGTTTGAAAGAAGAGGCACCTCCTCACTGGAGGAATGTAAAGGAAGGTTAAGAATTCTGCTCTGGAAGGCTCTAGGATTTTCTACCTTGGTCACATAAGCTGTGTATAGCAGGCTGAGGAGTTTTGCCAGCAGAGAAATTAGCAATAGAAAACTAGCCCTACCTCTTACTGGTCGCATGACCTCAGACAAGTCACTTCTCTAATGCCTGAGAGCCTTTTAGAGATGGAGACTCAGGATCCATCTCTAAAAGGATAATAAAACTTACCTTCCACAATTGCTGTAAGAATTAGGAGCTATTAGGTCCAGAGGCCTCACACAGAACTTAAAAAGAATGAAAGGAGCCTATGAATAATCCCCAAGGCCCATCTGTCTGCAGGAGACTCAGGCCTGATTTTCCAGGTATAACCCATCTATGGACACTTTTTGTCAAGGCCTCAAATGCCCCAGATATCTATCACCTCTAGTGCCCAGAATACCCTGCATAGGAAAGGCAAGGCAAATGTAGTTGTGGTCTCAGGGATGCTGGATCCAAAGCCTGTGGTCAGGCTGGCATCTGCTGAGTCAGGCCGTGGAGTGCTGGCAGAGGGGGCAATTCTCTCTCCAGCACACCGCCTGCTGAGGAGAGGTTGGGAGGGGAGCCAGAGGTCATTTCCTCTGACTCAGTGGCCATTCTTTCCAGAGGAGCGCCCCTGGAAGGCAGGGCACTTCCATGTGGCAGTGGCCTCTCTGTTGGCCAACCTGCATGCCACTCTGCACAGTTAAGGCATTGTGCTGAGACAAGAAAGGGACACTTGTGGACCAGTGGGCTGGGTCTCTCCCATTTGGCCTGGGCTTCGGCTTCTTCGGGTCAGCAATGTCCTTTCCTGTTTCTGCCCACTCACTTCCACTGTTCCCTTAAAGAATATTAGTTAGGAACCCAGAACAGAGACCCATCTCCAGCCCATGGGGCAGTCTGGCACACGCTCTGGCCACGAGGAGGTGGAAGGAATCAAGTTTTTTTTTTTTAAACTCTTGGCTGATAAGGAACATGACCTCAGGGAAATGCAACTCAGGCCGTGTAAGGAGGGAGGAGAGAAGACCCTGGGTAGTAATTAAAGGTAGGACGTATCAAGTAGAGACCCCAGACCCAGCTTCCTCTTGTGGCAGGATTAGGGTCTGGGCCGCCTCCACGTTTGCAGCCACCCTAGGAGCCCTGCTGCAACGATTACAGCCACGTGGGAGCCTGCTCGTGCCCACGGAGCCACTTACCCCCAACCCCCACTCTCGACGGGATGGAGAGGCAGGCACACCCAGTCCGGCCACAGGGATGACATTCCCTCCTTGGCACCCATCTCTCTCCTCCCAACACCCCCAACTCGGGCCCCTCGTGGGGTGGGGGAGGGGCACCGCCACCCCTCGTCGTTGCCGGGGAGTGCAACCTCGTTGCTATGGCTACGGTTTCCAAGCGAACTGGTGGTTGCTCGCGCCTGCTCGGGCTCCCTCGCTCACTGGCGCCCTCCTTCCCTCGCCCTCCCTCCAGTGTGGGCTGGGGGAGGGTCTACCCGCAGCCTGGCGAGGGGGGGGTCCTGGGCGGCGACCCCCTCCCCAGCCAGGGAGCAGAGCTGCCCGCCGGAAGGGGCTCAGCCCTGGGACCATCTTCCACCCACCTTCCAAGCTTGCCCAACCCGTAGCCTCCGCTGTACTCACGGGCCCAGGCATTCTCCTCGAGCTCGTCCTCCTGCCTTGGGGCGAGCGGCACAGCGGACTGAGTCCCCGGCCTGTGGGAGGCGATGGTAGCGGCTGCTGCCGCGAGAAAGACAGTGGCAGCAAAAGCGGCTCCCAGTGCTGGGCTGGAGGCACGGGGCGCGCGCACGGCAGCGTACACGGAGCGTGCCAGACCAGCGTGCGCGCGCGCGCGGCAGCCAGCAGAGGGCCCCTCACCCCACCCCACCCCACCCCCAGCCACACGCCACCGAGGCTGTCCCTAGAGGGAAGAGGTTGCGTGTGACTCGACACCCACCTGCCGCGCCCAGACCGGGTACACAAGGATGCCAAGTTCACACCCTTGGGGCATCCTACACAGGGGATGCACACGCCACACACGTCTTGGCAATAGGCTGCTCGGCGGGGCACGCCAGCACGCCCCAAGCACACACATATCGCACACACTGGATACTCAGCGAAAAGTTGAGGTCAAGGACCCTGACATGCACATAGCTCAGCCTGGAGACCATACTGTACTCATGTTGAGCTGCTGGCCACATTGTGACAGGCTACACACACACAGTGGACAGGGGTTCGAGTCAGCTTCAACTCCAGTGTGGCTCCCTCCCAACTTATGCCCATACTGCTGTGTCCCCAGCAGGCAAACATCCCCACCCCTAACTAAGAAGAAGCACAAGGACCTAGTGCTGAATCCTTTGCTATGGGTCATGCTTACCCCAGGGAATAGAGATGACCCCACAGAGGGTCCCATCCTGAGGTCCTCTTAAAGGACCACTTTAAAGCTCGCTGCCTTTTGGTTTTGTTCCATTTCTACACAGACTTCTCAGGGTCTTTCAAAGACACCTTCTCTCACCACCATATCAGCTGGTGTATTTTGGGTTGCAAAGCACAGAACCCTAAAATAAACAGGCTTGGGCCCACAGGGACTGGCTCACATCACTGCAAGTCTGGAGACTTGCTGCAATCGGCTCTACGTGTTTCAGCAATGGCATCAAGCATGCATCCACTTTACTTTCTCCTGTATCATTTTGGCAAGAGGTAGCAAGAGTGAGCTCCACAGCTCCAGGCCACCCATTCCCAGAGGAAAAAACTGGGAGTTTGGAAAAACAACCAAACCAATAAACCCACATATAACTTTTTTTGGACTTATTTGGCCGAGTATCAGTGAACCAATCCAAGCAGTCACACATACCTACTGCAAGGGGACGTGTGCTGTGAATGGTCACCCAGTATCTATTCTCTCTTTTTTTTTAAGGTACATTACTGAGATTTAACTGGGAGAATCATTGTCCCCTACGGGTGCTATCGTGCTGGGTCTCTGAAACCATGCAATCTGCTCTCCCAATATATGCTGGATAGGTTTCCAGCCTATCTATCCAGATTCAGTCAGCCCAACATTGCCAAGACAGGAATGGTACTCTGCTTTTGGTGGTCATGCTCTGAAGAGATGAAACTGTCAGCTTACAGGAGACCCTACCTCCACCAATGGAACTGGGGAGCAACCACGGGTTTCTACATAGCTTCAATCTCAGCCCTTTTGATTTTTCCAGACAGGGTCTTCCTAAATTGCTCAGGCTGAGCTCAAATTTGCAGGCTTTTTGCCTCAGTTTCTCTTGTAGCTAGAATTACAGGTATAAACTGTCACACCCACTTCTCTGGCCCTTTTTATCTGAGGTTGTGTCCTTTAACAGTGTTAGCTAGAAAGCTGTGCCATCTCTTGCAACATTCCTATCTGGGTCCTATGTGTGGTGTACTGCATGCAGAAACATAAACCCGCCACCATCTAAACCACATGGCGAGTGGGGAGGGGCTCCACAAAGGAAACTGTGTATTTTTGTAGATGCTGGGATAGACATCCTGATACAACCAGTCAAAACCCTTTTGGGATTCCCCACCTGTCCAGATGAGTTCCTGCATCCTTAACATGGTCTTCTGTTTGTTGTTGGGGGTGGGGTGATGGTACTGGTAATTGAACTCTGGACCTTGCACTTGCCAGTCAGGCACTGTGCTGCTGAGCTATATTTCTAGCCCCTTAACATGGCTTTCAAAACTAGTTTTGGTTCACTGACCTGAGCTAGAGCAACACCTTCTTCCACTCCATCCTTACCCCATGCTCAGTCATCCTAAACCACAAGCTCTACATCATCCGTGTCCTAGAGAGCACCAAGATACCTTCATGGCCAAGGGACCTCCCCTGTGTGGTGTAGCCCCCAACCCCCACTACTCTAGAATCCTCTCTGCCACAGTGCTGATCACACTCGGTGCCACTGTTCCCACATCTGCCTGCCTACCAGACTGAGCACCAAGCTGGCAGGGACCTAGTCTCCATCTGCGTTCCCAGCTTCCACCACAGAGCTGGGTGGGAAGGAGGTGAGCTTAGTGAAAATTTGTTGGGAAATGAATTCTGGAGGTTTCCTCTGCCAAGGATTTAAGGTGAACTGAACCCTAGTAAAGTTCCCTGGATGCCTCCCACACAACGGGGAACACTGGGGAAGGGTCTCGGTGCCTCACGGTCCTGCTCGTTTACCTGACACACTTGTCCACAAATGGCCTTTGGCCTGTGCAACCTAATAGCTAACTGACCCCCATGCCAACCTCAGAATTTGGAGCAGAGGTACGAATGCATTTCAAACCCCAACCTCATGGGTAGGGTCTGACTTTCTCACCCTTGGTTAGCTTCTTTTTTGATCCTGCATTGACCACTCACCCACTGAAGAACTTGAGCAAACCCCTGCCACCACATACACACATGCCTTGCTGTTTCTTTCAAACTGATGAAAGAAGTAAGCACTCCACATACCAAGAGATCCTTCTACAGAACTGGTGCTGGGTACCTTCTAGCAGCTGTTCAGACAGCTGCCAGCTTAGCACCTAGCACCTACCCCCCTCCCAAGCAGTTGAGAGTCCTATCAGTAACCTAGGGGCCCTAGAGGGCTCACTGGTTGCTTCAGTGGATTTTCATAGCTGTCCTGCAAAGCAATCAGCATTACACTTGTATTCCTAGCCAAGGGAAAGACCTGAGCAAAGCCAGTTTAAAAAGCTGCCAGGTTGGAACCTGAACCCATAACTGGCAACTATAGAACTCACATGGCTTCTGCAGATGTGCCTGGCCCAGAGGCAAAGAAAAAAATCTTTATGGCCCAGAGACAATAAACAAACCTTCATGGTGGTTACAGGGCATTTCTGAGAAGAGCGGGGACACTGGAAGGTTATTAAACAGTGACAAGTTTGTAAAGAAAAAGACTAATTTGTGATCAAACCTCTTACCCCCAAATAATCTCCTATGTGGTTCTACCATTCATCTTCCAAGCAACTCTCCTTCAAGGCCCAGCTAATCACTACCTTTGGAAAACCTGCCTTGATGTGCAGGTGGCTAGTCCCCTCCCAACCCTGCCATACCCTCTTTCCAGTATCACCATTGTCTAGGTCTTCCGCCCATCTATATTTAATGCTCCAAGGACAAAAAAGAGGGCTACACATGTATCCCAGGGCCAGGCACACAGCAGAGAGCCTGTGAAGAAAGATGTGGGGCAGGTGTTTGTGACAGTAGCTCCCACTTGGATCCCCAGGCCACTCCCAAGTTCACATTTGGCAGCTGGGTCACCTTGGCCTCGGATATCTTAAAGACCAGTCAGCTAGGCCTGCCTCTAGCACAGTCAGAAACAGGGCCACACTCTAGTATCCAAGACTCTCTTCCTCATGCCCCGTACTATTCAGGAAACAGAACCCACAGAGTGAACTTAAAAGGCCATCAAGGCCTGGATGCCTAGAAAGACTGCCTTACTGTAAGTACTAAAGGCTCCTGGGCCTTAGAAAGGGAGCCCCTCACCCCCTGTGCCAGGTCCATCTCCAATCCTTTCCCACTTCCAGCTGGTCCAGGGAAGCAGGAAGACCCCCTGGAACACCAGAGGCAAGAAAGAGGCAGGCAGGGGCAGCTGGCCAGGTTTGTGCTCGGACTGTATTCACACAGAGACATGTGGCAGCTTACACTGGACAAAACTGAGTAATAAAAATCAGCTTTAAATACAGAAAAACCAGGATCCTGTAATCCCATTCTACCCTAACACTGGGACCAGGATGGCTATCAGTCAGGGAAGGGCCAGGGCTGGGGCCTAGGACACAGGCACAGCCTTACCCTACACCCTTCACACATACACAGTTACACACCCACACCCACACATTCCCATGGGCACACACAGGGAGGGGCGGATTATTGCTGGGCACACATGTCTGTTTTGGTGAGGGGATTCTGGAAAGTTGGCCACAGCTGTCCAGGGATACCCCTACCTCTCCTATGACCTGGGCTGGAGCATTTTTGAAAGAAGTGTCTTCAAGGCCCAGCATAAGAGACAAGGTGACCTGGGAACTGGAAGGCAGAGGGAGACCCGCATGGATCAGCTTGGGCAGTGAACTAACGGGACTTCCTGGTCAGTCCAATCTCTGGTCACACTTTGGCACAGGCCTACAGCATAGAGAACCCACTGATTCAACTCTTGACAATTGCTGTAAGGGACAGTATTGGGCCCTAGTCAGTGCAGCCTGAGCCCAGGACACCAAGGGCAGGCGTGAGCCTTACTTGGAGGTTGGTGGTGGCCAGCACAATGCTGGGGTTTAGGGATCCGGCATTGCCCCTTCTGAATGGGGCCTGAGAAGCTTGACTTTGGCAATGGCTCCTCTGCTATCTCCTAGCTCTCCTAGCCAGGGCTGGCTGCCTCGGAGGCTGAGGTGGAGTGCCAGGTCTGGGATAGGAATTAAGAACGCTCTGGTTGCTATATACATTCGTACAAATACATAAATACAGAAATCCCCGAGCCCCACAGAAGAGCTGAAGGGACGCACCTTGTCCCAGGGACGGCCCAGGCTTTGCCAAACTCAGCTAGGCCAAGGGCTGAGGGGCAGAGGACATTGGGGACAGCTCCGGCTGTGTTCCCCAGGCCACGACTTGAGTGGACAATGGGGAAGACCACTGTGCAAAACTGTAAACAGCACTTGGAGTAGCTGCTACCGCCAACCGCTGGTGGGGGCCTCGGGCTGGGGACTAGAGGCGGGTGGGGAGCTCTTCCTCACTGTCGCTGCAGTTCCCACAGCAGTCCTAGAGGGACGGGGAGACATGGAGGGAGAGAGGCAGAGCGAGCACTGTTAACCTCCAGTGATGCCGCACAGGGTGGGCCCCGCCAAGACAGGACAGGTACCACCCAGGGTCACTCTTCGGAAAGAGGGCTCCCCATGAGGGGCCTGGAGTAGTAGCTCAGGCCACACGTGAGTGGACATCAGAGCAAAGGCTTCTGCCAACTGATTTAAGTAAGGGGACGAGGGAGAGCCCAGAATCTGCCAGGGCAAGGCCTTTGTCCAGGCCCTGGAGAGGCACAGGGATGGGCACAGGGAGACAGATAGCTAAGCAAGGCTGACAGCTTGAAGGGGCCAGGGTGCAGGGAACTGCAGCAGTGGGGAGGGGCACAGGGGAGCGGGCACCAGACTTCTTTCTCCCACATCTTGCCTCTGCCATTGAAGGGCTGCCTGGGGCTCCCCGAGGCTGGGCAGCGAGGCTAACCCACGGGGAGCCCACACTGCTCACCTCTGGAAAGAGAAAAGAGGCCATGAGCCCAGCCATGGGAGGGGAATGAAGCCAGAGACCCTGGGTGTTGCTGGCAAGGCTGGAGCATGCCCACTCCCAGCACAGGTGGGTACCAGCTGTGGCCCCCACCCGCCATCCCCTGAAGCCAGGCTAGAAGCCCAGGTAGAATACTACCACAGCTTACCTGACGGCTGAAGAATCTCTGCAGCAGTCCCTTCTTGGGTGGTGCAGGTGGCTGGCCCTTCCAGTCTAGATCTGGGGGAACTGAGCCATCCAGCCCAAAGACATTCAGCTCCTGGAAGCACTCGGTCTCTACCATCTGCCAAGTAACAGGCAGTTGTGAGAGCTACCCCCAAGGCTGTCCCCCTGGAGCCCAATTCACTAATGGGCCAGGTCCCACCTCGTTCTGCCAGGGGATGGGCACGCTGCCTGTGGCAAACTTCTGGTAGAAGTCCTGGTCAGTTGGCTCTAGCTCCACGCCCTTAACGGTAGAGAACTGTTCAATGTCCAGAACATCCTTGCAATAAATAGCTTGGGGCTAGGGGGGAACAAATGCAGTCATCAGACAGGAAAGTGCAAGTGTGGGCACACATACATGTGCATGTACACACAGAAAGAAGGTAATTCAGCCTTGAGTCTCTCCAGCCCTTGGCCTGGTTCAGCCCTGACACCTGTAGAACCTGGTCTGGAGTTAGCAACCAAGGGCCCCATGTACTCTGCAAGCACTAGTCTCTTCTGCCTGAGGCTAACTTCTCCCTCTGTGTCCACTTCCGCATTCAGAGATTATTATCCCTCCCTGGTCCATGACTGAGTGACACTGTGTACAGACCTGATGTTGCCCTCTGCCCCTTGCCCTGCACAAGGTTGCCCAGGCGCGTGGCCGGTGAGGGGAGTGCAGACTGAAACTCTGCTAGCCCCCATCCAGGGCCCGCAGCAGATGGGTCTCCTGCCTAAGAGTCCATTGCTTGCTCTGAGCCAATCAGAGGACTGGAATGGACCAATTACCTCCCCAGCCCCTGCTGGAAGGTCACCTCAGCCTCAGAAGGCCACTTTCTTTTTCATCTTTATGTTGTTTTCTAAATCCTATTATTAAGGTTGTCAATTAAAATATCATCATCGTGGGGCTAGGGGTGTAGTGCAGTTGTGGTACAGCACGTGCTTAGCAGGCTCTGGGTTCACTCCCCAGTGCGCATGCACACATGTGCCCCCCACATAGATGTATTCATCACACAAAATGGTACACCATTTCGGAAAAAGTGTGGCAGTTCTCCTAAAAGGTTAAACAGAGCTAGCCTATGGCCTAGGAATTCTATACCTAGATATAACACCAAGAGAAATAACATTTGTCCACATAAAAAAATCTGTACAGTAAGTGCAGAGCAGTTGGGCATGGTGGCTTGTGCCTAGCATCTTATTTGGGAAGCTGCAGCAGGAAGATTGCTTGAGACCACAAGGTTGAGATCATCCTAGGCAATATAAGAAAACTGCATCAGAAAATAAAGAATCCCCATAGCAACACTGTTCTTAAGTCAAAAATAGTGGAACTAATCCTAATGTCTGTCAACTTATAAATAAATAAAATATAGTATTATTTATAAAATGGGATATTATTCAGCCTCAAAAAGGAATGAAATGCTGGTACATACAATATGGATGAACCTTGAAAAGCATGCTAACACCAGGCATGGTGGCTTACGCCTGTAATCCCAGCATTTGGGAGGCTGAGGCAGGAGGATTATTGAGAGTTCGAGACCAGCCTGGGCTACAAAGTGAGCTCAAGGCCAGTCTGAACTGCATAATGAGACCCTGTCTCAAAACAACAACAACAACAACAACAAAAACATGCTAACTTCCAGGTGTGGTGGTATATGCCTATAATCCCAGCACTTGGGAAGCCGAAACAGGAGCATCACCGTGAGTTCTAGGCCAGCCTAGGCTACATAGTGACTTCAACACCAGCCTGAACTACACAGCAAGACTCTGGCTCAAGAAAGCAAAAACAAAACATGCTAAGGTGCCAGTCACAGAGGACCATATACCGCATGATTCCATCCATATGTGAAACATCCAGAACAGGCAAATATATAAAAAGCAGATTAATGACAGCAGGAGGAGCAAATAGGGATGATACTAATGGGGAAGGTTGGGGTGGGGGGGCTTTTTGGGAGGGCATGATGAAAATATTTTAAAATGTATTGCGGTCATACTTGTACAAATATGCCATACTAAAAGTCACCGAATTGCCTACTTTACACGGGTGAATTACATGGCATGTGAATTAAATCTTGAAAAAGCTGTTTAAAAATATCATCATTGAGCTTACTTCTCCTCTATTGCTTCTAAAATGTTAGAACTCCAAGACACTGACTTTGGTCTCTAACTCTGAACTGAAGATGCAGAGGCAGGGCAGTTATTTCAGTTCCGTGAGATGCTACGCACAGCAAGCAGGAGGGAACAAGAGCAGCAGTACCGGCTGCAGGCAGGCTAATGGAGGCCAGGACCTCATGGCTGCAGAGTAGCCGTGACAACTGGGACCATGGGCCTACCACACGACACAGCTGTGAGAGGCAGGGGCTCCCTGGCTGGCCTCCCCACTCACACACATCCCCTCTATGACCCATTCTCCATACCTCACTTTCCTATTTGAAAGTTGCCCTGTCTTGCTCAGGATATAACCATCCTCCTCCTTCCCCACACATCTCATTCTGGCCACACTGGCCTGCTTGCTCTTCCGTCTCACCAGGCTACTCCCTGCTCCTTTGCCTGGAATGCTTACCCCACCCCAGCCCAGCCCCAACTTGTGGCATAGCTTTTTTCAACTATTTTAGTGGCTGCTTAATCATCAGCTCTCCAGAGGCCACTCTAAAATTACTATCAGACCCTGATCCCCATCATGCTGTCTTCTTAGCCTGCTTTATTTTTCTTTGTTGGACTTAGCATTACCTGAAACTTTCTCACTTAGTGGTTTATTTTGGTGTGTCTTCCCACTAGAACATAAAGACAGACCTGGGACATGCGGACCTTATTATTTTCAAAATCTGGCACATATGAGCATTTGAATATTTGTCAAATGAATAAACAAATGTGTGGCTGACGTCACCAACCTGGCCTGTCCATTGCCTTCCATCCTCCCCAGTGAGCCTATCATAGGATCCAGTTCTCATATAAATGGGAAGGAGGCAAGCACGTGGCCTAACCCTGGCCAGTCAGAACCTTCCCTGTAACATTACACACAGAGAAGCCTGAATTCAGGGAAGGGATATAGCCAACACACTGAAGCAGAGCCAACAGATGGAGAATCTTGGCAACACAACATGAATCTGACGCTGACCCTCCTCTGGGACTTTCTTATGAAAGGAACCAGTAAACTTCACATTGGGCTTGACTAAGTTGGAGCTGGGTTTCCGCCACTTATAATATGATTAGAGGATGTTTGTGTTTGTCGAGTGCCTGACCCACAAGACGCTCAGTAGAAGAGTGCGAGTCTATAAGGGCACATGTCCTGACAGAAGAAGGGAAGCCAGCCTCATGGACATCCCCCCTACTGGCCCCACCATTTGGGTATTCCATTGGGAAATGGAATGTTCTCATTGGCAGTGGTCAAGGTGAGCGTGGGATCCAGCTGTGGTCATTAAGAAGTAATGAGAAGTAAACATGTTTTTCTCCTTTAGGATTTTCTTCAAAATTCCTGGGAGACGGCTGCTCTCTGTCTACAGTGATGTCTATTGGTAGGTTATAGGCTTGATCTGCTGGGGTCAGCATCGCTGGGGAAAGCTTCCTGACAGTGATGAGTACATAATCCACAGTGTGGAGGGAGAGGCAAAGTGAAGTCCTTCAATATTCTTAGGGCCACCCATCTCCAGTACCCCCATCCAAGCATGCCAAAAACCAGACCTATCCTGGATTTTGTGACAGTAATGATGGGGGGTGGGCTTAGATCAGATTTTCTAATATACTGAATACTCCCCCTACTCAAGGGCCCTCAGCCCCCACCCCAGCTTGGTCCTGCCCTCCACAGAAATGGACTGCACTCACATCAGGCTTAAAGGGTGGTTCTAGCATGCCTGCTCCCAGCCGCTTGAAGTTCAGCTTTTTGAAAAGAGGGTGCTCCTTCACCTCTTGGGCACCGCTCCCACGACACCCCAGGCGCTCCGCAGGGTCCTTGCAGAGCAGCTGTGGGGGGGCATGGGTGGTCAGGGTGCCTGTATGTGAGCAGGCAGGTGAGACGGCCCAGCTCCAGCCCCGGCCAGTCAGGCCTCCCCCTTGCTGAGATACCTGGGAACAGAGCGAGCAGGCCTGCGGGGAAAAGCGCTCAGAGTATTCTTCAGGCACCTCTTTCACCAACCGCTCCACCTCCTCCCGCTTGATCTTCTTCTTTCTCTGCTGGAAGGGTGACTGGCCTGCGATCATCTCATACAGGAGGCAGCCTAACGCCCACCAATCAGGGCTGAACGTGTACCGCTCGTTCTTTACCACCTCTGGAGCTGGGCAGGGCACAGAACCAGGGCTGGGTAGGTGGTGGGGAACAGAGGCAGGAATGCCCAGTGCATATGAATGCAGGGGACTGACTCAGACACCCCGGCCAGGGAGGCACCATTATCAACTTAGTGGGAACCTCCTCAAGTACAGAACATACATTTCAACAAAGGAAGCTGATGTGGCCTACAGGTGGCAGCATCTAGGTTCCCAGCTCTTCTGATTTTTTTGTTTCTTTCTCTTTTTTGGTGTGGTGGTATCGGGATGAAACCCAGGGCTTTGTACGTTATAAGCAAGCACTTTGCCACTGAGCTATGTACCACAGTAGTCAAATCCTTATATGTTACATAAAGCTTTCTGGCTTATTAAATGTTGGCAATTTAAGATGTTCCACAGTTTTACTGCAATACTAATGTAAGCCAAATTGGGCTCTTGTGGTTACTAGTCTGCAACTTCTGGATTTCATTAGAGAGAAAAGAGAGGGCTGAAACTCCCACTGCTGATACCTCCTACCTGCCAGGGCAGGCACCTGAGGAGTTTTCCCTCAACTATCTCTTTTCATCTCCAGGCAACCCTGGGAGGCAGCTCTGATGATTCTTTCATAGTAGAGAAAAAGGGAGGCTGGGAGAAGATAAATCTCTAGCACTGGGGCAACACAACAGGCAAGTGGAAGAACCTAGAGGGCCAGGATTCTGTCTACTATGTGATGTGGTCCCCAAGGAGGGGCATAGGGCTACTGCCCTGCACCACAAATGGGCACACTCACTCCAAATACTGGCAATCCAGCACAGGCAGGGTTAGAGCTGTTGAAACAGGTTTGATTTTCTTCTTCTTCCTGCCCTGGTAGCCCTGCTGGCCCAGCTAGTAATATGTGCTCAATAAACATTTAGTAAATGAAAGACATAGATTCATAATAGTGGGTCTCTGGCTGGGGTCTTGGTCTCCTAATCCTATGCTGATCCTAGCTGCAAGAACATCAGCATAGGTTCTTTCTACTCCCTCAGGCACAAAAGATCTCCATGTAGAGGGTGATGGGCAATGAAAGACAATGAAGGGACCCACAATGCGGGTGGCCCAGGACAGAGGGAGCCTTACCCATGTAGCCCACGGTGCCCACACGACCTTTGATGGTCTGGCCCTCAGGCACATGCACAGCCAATCCCAGGTCAGAGATGCGGATATGGCCTAAATGAGAATGGAGAAGCAGGTGGGCGTATTAGGGCCCAGGCCTCCCCAACTCACCCTACCCACTCTTGTCTCTCCCCACTCACCATGGTCATCCAGAAGGATGTTCTCTGGCTTCAGGTCCCTGTGAAAAGAAAAGGGCAGCATCAGCTATTACTCATTTTACCAAGAAGCTACGCAGGGCTGGCCCCTTCTAGCTCAACTGCCAAGTGACAGATGACTCTGCTCTTCCTGGGCAACAACCCTGACTCAGGATGGCAGGTAAAAGATCCGTACAGTGCCAGGACTCCCAGGATCTTCCTAGGTGAGTGAAAGGTGACTCTGCCCAGGGGGAGGACTTCCTGGACATCATCAGTGTTGAGGAGCTCCCTCCTGCTTGATTCTACTGTGCCTCTGTCATGTAAGGCTACTCATCCATCCCCTCATGGAACTGTTAGGCTAAAGTGAAATTATCACCAGTCACCACCATAACCAAAGCTCTCCACTGCTGAGCCAACCTGAAAAGTAGGCGGGCTAGTCTCTGCATAGCAGAAAAGGAAATAGTGTTTTCTGTGTAAGGAGCCGACTGACCGAAGGTCACACAAAGAGTAACACAATCAGGATTCACACCCAGAGATCAGCGAGACCTCAACGTACATCTGAACCACTGCAGTCAGCCCACTGTGGGCAAGTGATGAGCCCAGAGCCAGTTACTGCTCTCCAGTCACATCTTTGGAACACCAAAGGCCTTCTGCTGCTGAGCTGATTGACAGGGTTGGCTGCTTCCATCCACACCAGCTACAGACCCTGGAGATGGACCAAGCCCTGGGAGAGCTGCTACAGAAGTTCCACCCCACCTGTACACGATGCGCTCCCGATGCAGGTCCTCCAGCCCACAGCAGATCTCAGCAGCATAGAAGACGGCACGTGCTTCTGGGAAGCCAGCCTGGCCCATGTGGTAGATGTGGAACTTGAGGTCACCTCCATTCATCAGCGTCAGCACTAGGCACAGTGCATCCTTGGTCTCGTAGGCATAGGCTAAGCTCACCTGTGGCCAGGGGATCAGAGCCCTCAGGCGGGAACTTGGGGCCACCTGGGGGCAGGGCTAACACCAGCTGCCCAAAATATCCTTGTGGATGCCATTCCTTGGGGCTCAGCATGCTGCAATGCCCAGGATAAAAAGGGGAGGCTGGAGGGGTAGGGCAGGGTAGAGGACAGTTCTTTTGTTGGTGGGGAGACTATAGCCTGGTGAGTGGCGAGGGCAGGATGAGACAGCATGACCAAGAGGAAGGGAGAGATCTCCTTTCTGTACTTACTACAAACCTACTGTTCACTTTCTCCAGGATCTGCTTCTCATTCAGAGCCATGGCCTCCCCTTTCCTCTTCTTGATGCGTTTCTTCTCCAGCTTCTTGCAGGCATACATCTTGCCTGTTGCCCGCACCTGGCAGGCGCACACCTGTGGCATGGGTAGGTAGACAGGGGCACATGGAGGTCAGCCATGCACTTGGGGTATAGGAGCAGGTGCAGGTCCACTCTAGCCAGCCTTGCACACTCTGCTGGGGCACTGGCCTGACCACTCACCTCCCCAAAGCCACCTTTGCCAAGGACTCGGTACTGCCTGAAGGTGTTCTTTGTTACTGGCTGCCTGTGGGCAAGAGTTGAGGGAGCAAATGTTGGCTGAGAAGGGCTCAGGGACCAGAAAGAACCTTCACAACCTGGCCTCATTTGGCTTGGTCTGGCTGGAGCTTACCTTTCCAGCCATTTCCACTGCAGGAAACGGTTGAAGTAGATGCTGTCGAGGTAGTCAGCAAAAGGGGCCATGCTAAGGTACTCATGGGTCAACCTGTTGAAAGGAACAGCTCATAGATCAGCCCCTGGCATCCCAGATTCTTGGCTTGATGGTCCAGGCCTCCTGTACTATGCACACTCAGCCCTTAAAGCATCATCTTTGGCCAACCCTCTGGATAAGCCACTAAGCAAACAGTCACCCATTTGGTGCTGAAGGTGAGGATGCCAGAGAGATAGGAGGCTCACTGCCAAAGTTAAACAGTGGGACAAGGCCAGGGCAAGAAACTAAGCCTTCTGGGCCCACAGAAGTCCCCTCCACTAAGTGCAATTCCAGGCTTGTAAGCAGGGAGCCTTACCGGGTCAACTCCTGGAAGAGGTCTTTACAGGGCCCCTCCTCCAGCCGCTGGGCACAGTTAGTCACCAACTGCAGGGGGACCTCAGGGATGAGGTCTGGACCCTGGAGACAGGCCACAGACAGGTCAGTGCAGGGGCTCGCTTGCACAGCTGCCTGCTCCTTGGGCAGAATTGCCAGGTCTCTCTGCTGGTGGCAGTGTGGCCGCTGGCTGTGCTGGCTGCCCAGTTGCTGGATTCCCTTCCTTTCCTCCCTCCCAAGGCAGCAAGAGGTACAGCGGCTGGCAGGCCGCCTGGCCTGAGCTCGGCTCACCCCATGGGCTCCATGCCCGCAGTGCTGCCTGGAGCAGCTCCAAGGCACTCACTGCCCAGGCTGTGGTCATTCCTCTCCCTGCAGCCACCGAGCCCTGAGCCTGGCGTGTTGTCATCACTCCATCACTGTTCACTCACCGTGTGGCTCAGAAAAGTCTGCATTAGCCGCTGCCCACATGCCTTCCGCTTCTCATCAGGGGTCACCTCATACTCAGCCTGCAGGATGGGAAGCAGAGAAGCCTGGGGTCTGGACAGAGCAGTGAGTGTGGGGAAACGGCATGGTGGGGGGGACCTCCACCTCCCTGCCCTTGGTGTTGGCTGGGGCTGGGGGAAGGTGCACTCACCACCCCATCCAGGAAGGCGGTGCAGCGTGTCAGCTCAGGCCTCGTGGCACAGAACTCCCGGAACAGCAGGCGCCCGATGGGCTGCCGCTCACACAGACTGTGGTAGTCACGCTCTGCAGGCCAAGATGGGAGCTGTTGGGGTCACAGTCCTGGAGCCCATTGGCAGGGTACTTCTGCTTACATCACCAAGCCCTAGGCCCCAGTGGCTTCCAGCTCTGCAGTGTGGTAGCCATTATGTCCTTTAGGGCTCTTACTACAACCCTGAGGTAAGCACTGTGTCATTCCCAACATAATTTGGGACTTCGAGGTCCACAGAGGTTAACTGATGAGCTCAATACACAGTCAGTAGCCCAAGCTCCAAAGACAGGCCCCACCTCCCCTGTCATCTCCTGGTGCACATAACTTGTATATGACAGTACTAGGGCTGGGTGCGGTCTGTGAGGTTCCGGCCCAGCCTGGGGCCAGGCCCACACCTGTTGCCTGCCTGGCGAAAGTGCGAGAGGAAGTTGTGGCTTCCGGCGTGCTCTCAACTGGGCCTCCTTCCCAGGCAATGGAAGCAGCTATAGTACACTTTGCCCACACAGAGGGTTTAGAGGGGGCCCAGGCAACCTTAGGTGCTACTTAGACCTCAGGATTCAATCAAGACAAACAGGAACTGGGTGCCTGGGTTATTCTGTCCCCTCCCAGAAACAATCCTGTCACACCGTGCTGGCTTTGCTGGGTATCCCCTGGGCTGAGCTAGGTGGGGCTGATAAGCACAGGCTAGGGTCTCTCAACACTGTCAGTCTGAGGACACTGCCTCTAGCAGGGGCCCCGCTCCTGCTGGCCTGACCCACTTATCCTCTGTTCCTCTCATGCCCCTAATCTGCCTCTTCCTTCCTCCTTGTATCCACTTCAACTGACCCTAGACAGATCCTATTCACACTCTGCCCTCTACCCATCCCAAGCCCAGAACTGAAACTGGGCTGGGTGGTGCAGCCTCAACCTCCCTGGTCATCAGACTCCCCCATCCTTGCGCCCGCACCCCAGACAAGGTCTCAGGGGAGGTTTCCCTTGAACCAAAGGTCCCCTCTGCTTCAGTAGGCCCCAGTCTCCAACCAGGCCTCACCGAGGCTGAGCCGCAGCTCTTCACACTGGCTGATGTGGGGGAACTGAAGCATCTGCCGCCATTTCTTGCTCTTGCCTTTGCGATTTCCACCTCCACCTGCAGAAGCAATCAGGCACTGGGTCTCTCAGGTCCTGTTGCCACTGTGCCTTCCCTTGACATGCAATGTGGTTCAGTGGCCTTCAGGGCCCAGTCAAGGTCCAGCCTGCCCTGGGAGGCACCTTGGGCCTTCCTTGACATGCTCCAGCATGCTCTTGCTTGGTTCCAGGACACATAGGGTCCTTCTGGGCTCTCCTAGTAGGGGCTGAGAAAGCCAAGGGGGGCAGTGAGTCCATTTTGGCAACAAGGTCAGCCTCAGTTGCTTCCCCCTAGGTAGGAAGAACAGAAAGGTGAAGAAAACAGAAAGGGCATCACACTTGTGGGCACTGCATAAATCAAGGCATACAAGGGAGAGATTCCAAGTCATATCGGGTAGGATTGAGATGCCATGGGCAGAGAGCAGCCTGGGCCATCCGGGTGGCTCCCAGGCCTCTCCCACTAAGCTCCACATCACAACTATTTCCCTTTGCTTCTTGCACCCATGAGCAAAATGATGATGGGAGGGCTGACAGTCAGGATCCTTCATCCCCTACTCGGCACACAAGCTTTCACTGTCCTTGATGGCTGCCTTGTTTTACCTTCCTGACCTCCTAACTGTAACTGCTGGGACTCTCATGGTAGCTCATGGAATGCTTACAGAGCCTGACAGGTACAGCAAATGTGGACCATATACAAGCCAGCAGGGAGTGGTGGGGAGTACAGTCAACTGGACCAGGAAATGACCCTTCCAATAGGAGCAGTTACAATAAAGCTTCTGTGGATTTCTTGAATACTGGTAAAAAGAAGTCCTGGCTCAGTGACCGACCTGCTCCCTGATTTTCCAAAAGCTGCTGGAAATCCAGACTGCAACATGAAATATCAGTTCCTATTGGATTGCAAAAAACAAAACCAAAAAGCCCACAGCTGTCAAATAAATGAAACATGTCAGAGAGCTAGCTAGATGTGGCCTATGGGCCACCAGGGTGAGAATGGTGGAAAAGGACTGTCTTGGAGCCTCACAAACTTGAGTTTGAAACCTCACCTCACACTGAGCGCATCACTTGCCTTTTAAGACTGTTTCTCTGTGTGTGCACTTCAGGGCCCAGGCCACCTCCAGAGGTGTTGTGTGGGTAACAGGAAGGTCTGCACACAGCACTCAGTAGGGCTGAAGCAAGACATGAGCCCCAGCTCCCACAACTCAGTGGCCGCCACTCTCCATTTCCTGGCCTCAGTTTCCCTCAGGTTTTCCCAGTTCGGTCTCCATCTAACCTGGGCAGAGGCAGATGGTACAGGGGGAGGAGCCACATCCTAGGGAGGGGACAGGACTGTGTCCTTCAATGACAGGAGGTCAGAGGAGGAAGTAATGCAGGGGCCCCTTGAGAAATCTGCTGGAAGCCCTTCTGTACGCTATACCCCATGTACCACACAGCCATTGCTTCACTGTGAATGAGCAACGGATCTCCACCCGCTAACCTAAAGCAAGGCCTCCCCAGAAGGGGAACTCCTCCCTCACCCCCGCAGGGTCCCTAGCCAACCTCAGCCTAACCCTCCATCTGCCTGCCTTCCCCCACCAGTATACTTCCTCCTCCCCCTCCTCCCAGCCACATCAAGGCAGCAGCAAAGAATCATAAGCAAATATCCTGTCCTGGAACTGTAGCAAAATCTGTGGGGCTCCCCTCCACCCTACTCTGGTTCCCTTTCTCTGTGCTCCAGGAACCCAGGAAAGGGAGGAGATCAAAGTGAGGGCTCTCAGCCTGAGTGAGGTTCCATTTCACAGCCACTACCAGACTGGGCCCAGTCTCATGATGGGAGGAAGCCCTGACAGCACAGGCACCAGATATAAGCATCAGAGTGAAGGATCAGTTTGCCTATGATCACAGAACTTGGAGGTAACAGTGGTAGGATTCAAACCCAGCTCCCATTTACTAAGTGCCAACAGTATACACTTACCAAGGGTTCCCAGACTGCTTAGGGCCTCAGACCATTTGGGAATCTGACAAAGACCCTGGCCCCAAGCTGTCAGTCAGCTCACAAAATGATTCCAACACAGTCAGTCCATTGATCTGGGTTCAGGAATCAGTGACAGTGAGGATTTTCTGATCTTTATATCTCATTCCCTAACTATTCCACAAAAAGGGATACTGAAGTTGGAGGAGAAGAGACTTGTCTAAAGCCCTGCAAGTAAGAGGAGCAGAACCAGGTCAAGATAAGGATTCTCTCTGGAGGCACAGGTCCCTGGGATGGTCAGCCCATCTATATCTTGACCAGGGCCAGACAAAGCTTATCCAAAGATGCTCACACAATCTGGTTAGGCAAGACAATGCCCTCAGGAAGACTGAGGACTCAAGCAACTCAGGCCTTAGGAAGGGAGGCCCAGCCAGGCTCTTCACCCCTCCTCCCTGGCTGGCTGGCTGGATGACGAGGCAGAACAGAATCAGCAGATGCCCCCAGAGGCTGAGAGGAAGGCCCAGCCCCAGGACTTGATAAGGGACAAGCGATAAGACAGGCTCCCTGGGCACTAGGGACTCAGTCAGCCAAACTCATTTCCAGGCAACACCTCCCCAGAATGACACAAATTGGGTGGGCAGAGGACACCACATGCTCTACCCAGCTGGGGGCTCCTTTCTGCTTCTAAGGGACTGTATTGGACATGCCAGGTCATACACCTGGGTCAATTACAGTCTTGCTGTGTGATCTGGGATTTATCTCTGGTCTGAACTTCAGTTTCCCACCTGTAAAATGGGGCAGAAAGGTGAAGTAGATGACTCATTCAGCCTGGGAGTCCAGCAAAAAGTGGAAAAAAATGTCATCATCTCCAAGTCCTAGAGTTCCAAAAAGAAGTCTTATTCACTGCTGGTTCCCCAGCATCCTGCACAGAGTGAGGCACAGTGCAGCTGTACATTCATTACGTTACTCAGTTGACTATGGCAGGTGAGAGGCAAACTAAACACAGGGCAGGGGGGATCAGTTTTAGTTCTGTGCGCCCCAAGACCCTGACAGCACAGGCACCAGATAAAATCTGGAATGACAGCCATGAAGAGCTATACATTAACACACACACACACACACACACACACACACACACACACACACGGAGGCATGCAAACTGGGCCCTCCAGACTGGTTCCCCCAGCCAGGCCATTGCACTTACAGTGGTCCTAACAGTCCAATAACGCAGGGCTCCCAATTATTTCTGTGCGCCTTTACCCCTGCAAATCATAGACTTCCTGAGAGCAAATATCGTGACCCATTCATTAATCCCCTACTTTTAGATGTCCTGAGGCTTCTAGCAAGTGGCAATCTGCCGGTGGCGTATGGTGTGACCAGTTTTCCCAACTCCAGTGAGTTATGTTATGCAAAGGCTCTGGTCATTCATTCTCTGACCTTTACTGAACACCAGCTTTGTGCCGTTAGGGGTCTGGGCCTGGGGCACGTGGGGCAACTCCTTGCCTCTCACTCAGAGGTCTCAGAAAGGTTCTCCTGGGGCTCAGTCCTACCCTTCCTTCTTCCTTCCTCTTCCCCTAAGCCCTTCACACCCCCTCTTTCTCCACCCGCCGGAGGGCGGCGGCCTGACCCCCGCCCCTTCCTGGGCCCCAGCTCCCGGGGGCAGGTGCGGAGGAGGAGGACCATAAGCCGGAAGGGCCCGTGTCTGCTTGGGGTTCGGATGGTGGAGCCTGCGGCGCTAGGAGTTCTGACGGCTGGAGTGCTCGGTTGAGCTCAAAGGCCCTGGCCCGCACTCCCCGTACCCGGGCCCGGCCACCCGCCGGGCAGCCTCACCTTCCCGGGCCTTGAGTAGCACCGTGTTCGCTACGATGTTCTCGAGCTCCATGGGCTGCAGCGGCGCCGGCTCACCGCACCGCGCCGCCGGCTGGGATCGTGCGAGAGCCGGAGCCGGATGGCGACTGGCACGGCACGGCTCGGCTCGGCTCGCAGTGACCGCGCCGCGGCCTCCCGGGCCTCCCCGGCCGCCGCCGCCCGCCTAGCACTCTGCACCTCCTCCGGGGGCCACCCCGGCACCGGCCCGCCCCACCCCGCCTTCTGTTTACTTTATTCTACCAATAGTCGAGTGGACGCTCCCCGCGCCGTCTTCTTATTAGTCTGTCCCTCCCCATCCCCGCCCTCAAATCCGGGGATTGGTTCAAAGGGGTAGAGGGCGGGATTAATCGCGTCACCTCTTCCTGGTTGGCCTGTGGCCGGAGTTCGGCCCCTAGGTTCGAATTTCTAGGCCTTCGTAGGATACAGAACTGCCAATTAGCGCCCAGTACTCCGCGGGGAAGACGGAGGTGGGCCCTCTGGGTCACGCCCAGGAGACCGGATGTGTAATTAAATGAAGGAAGCGTCGTCTTCTTAGTAAGGCATACTGATTGGGTCATCAATTTAGGCTTGGCGGGGTTGCCTTTGACCAGGGTTAAGCATTTTTAGGGATATCTTGCGGACTTCCTGCGGGCCGACCTAGAACAAGCTTAACCACATGTCCCACTGTATTGTCTGGAGACGGAAGCGAGGGGAAGCTAGGAGAAGGCTAGCTGCCTCCACTTTGTCCTCTAGCCTTCGGTCCGGTAACCGGTGGCACTCCCCCCCCCCCCCCCCCGCCCCTGGATGCTGTGATTTCTCTCCACCCACATTGCGTCGCCCGCCCTTGGCTCTGCTGCCTTTTAAGGCAGCGTTACCACCCCTAGACGTTGGGATCTGCACACACCCATTATACAGGTGGGGAACTGAGGCACCGGACGTTAAGTGGTTGGCTGCAGACCGAAGTCTAGGGGAAAAACAAGACCAGAATTTTACAGCTAATCAACACTGTCTAACTCAACACCCACTTCCTCCACCCACAGTTAGCAGAGCAGGAAACGGAGGCTTGCTCAAACTCAGCAAGGAAGACAGAGCCAGATTCAACGAAGGCTCTCTGTTCCTGTTTGTTCATTCATTCACCCAAAAATACTTGCAGAGCACCTGCTTTGTCTCAGGTACCGAAACAGTTACTGAGGAATATGGTGATGTCAGCAAGATAGCCAAGCCCTCTGCTTACATGCCCAAAGGAGGTAGAAAGGAGACGTTTGAGTACTCCAGACAAATGCAATTACAAGTCCAAAATCTCTGAGACTGGAATAAGTTCGAAGAGGAAGAAGTGTTCAGGGCCCAAGGGTTTGAGATGAGACAGGAGCCAAAAGCACTTAGCTAGATCATGGATAGCTTTGTAGCACAGTGAGGAGTTTGTTAGAAAAAGTAAACTGTGAAGACTTTGAAAGGATGGTTCATACTTCAAAACAATCACTAATATATTCACAGGCAGCTCAAATTAGAAGCTGAACAGTTGAGAGGCTAGAGGATTTCAGGAGAGTGACAAGGTGGCAGTTGGAGAAAAGTGGCTGCATCTAGGACACATTTGGGACTTAAGAGAAAAAAACTCCAGTGACCAGTGGGACAAAGGGTGGATACTTCACCAAAGAAGGCTGTTTTGTTCAAGAGAGACCTAAGAGTTAGAGGGGAGCGTGTGCCTTTCATAGTTAATGGAATGGGGCTGGGCGCAATGGCCTGTGCCTGAGTAACCCTTACTCAGGATACAGGCAGAAGGACTGCTGCGATTTCAAGGCCAGCCTGGGCTACATAGAGAGACCCTGTCGCAAAAAAAAAAAAAAAAAAAAAAAAGTTAATGGACAGGTGAGACCCTGCAAGTTCAGATATCTACAGAGAGAGGAGAGAAGGCTCAGGTGTTCAGCACCCAAGGCAGAGTGTGATGCTAGAATTTAAAGGGATAGGCACAGGGAACACAAAATGACTCTAAAGCCTTAGAAGCTTCCTGGATCAAGGAGAACCTTAGAAACCAGGTAAAGAGTTTGGGTTTTATTTTTTGGATAGAAGGGAGCCTTTTACCTGGAAAGGGGAGGGGAAGGGCAGATTTGAGGCAGAGGAGTAGTCAGTGTGATCACATTTATTTTCCCAAAGAGCACTGGGATGTACCTTGAAGGGTAAGGTAGGAATGGGAGCAGGCGGCTGATTGGTAGACATCTGAGCAGTGGAGCACCCTCCCATTTGGGAGGAATCCTATGAGATGTAGAGGCAGGCCCTGCCTCCCAGTAGGGAGATCCAAGAGGTTAGACAGAACTTCCTCTCCTGGAGTCCTGACAGCTGTATCATGTTTCTAACCAGGCCTTTGAAGCCAAGCAAGAGATCAGCACAAGACATCAGTGGGATCATTCAGAATTCGCTGTGGAGGCAGTGGAGGGGGAGAGGGAAGGACGCAAGCCAGGCCTTTCCTTCCCAAGGAGATTCAGCAAGTGTCCTAGAGCTGTCCAGTCAGTTCGTTGTCTGCTTAAGTTACCCAGAATTGGCCTGACTGTCTGCACCTAAGCATCTTGAAGTACATCTAACCTCCTTTTAGGAAGAACCATTAATGGAATGACAGTGCCCCATGCTGGGGCAGTGGATGTGTGCACACAAGTGGGCAGACTGGGAGCCATCAGTCAAAGTGATGTCTTTAAAAAGGAAAATTTAGCTGGGGTGGGGTGGGGTGGAGATTTAGCTCAGCGGTGTAAGTGCCTGCTGGGCAAACGTGAAGTCATGAGTTGCATCCCCGGTACCAAAAATAAACAAATAAATAAATAGGAAAATTTGTTACCAACCATTTGAGGTGCCTTTCTAGGAATCAGATCTACAAATACCATTACATTCAAGCAAAAGAAGAAATCCTCAAGGTTATTCATTGCAACATTGTCTGGAAAGATAGCTCATATTTAATTGCTTTTAATAGAAATGTGTTAAATACAATTTAGTCCTTTCCATCAGGAATACTATGTAGCTGTTTAAAAATGTGAGTGGATTTAGGGTAGAAGAGCACCTGACTAGCATGTAAGAGACATTGGATTTAACCCCCAGCACTAAAAAATGAAAAAAAAAATGGTGTGGGAATGCTTTTATACTTAAACAATTTCCAAGATACATTGCAAACTTTTTTAAATTAAGGTGTAAACATCATGTAAGGTTTGCTAACATTGTGTAAGAAAGGTCAAGATAGACGAGGTTAAGCTGCAGTAACAAACCATCCCCAACTTTCAGTGATTTAAAACAAATTTAAACCAGATGTGGTGGAACACATCTGTAATCCTAGTACTCAGGAGGGTGAGGCAGAAGCATCTCTGTGAGTTCAAAGCCAACCCTAGGCTACCTCGTGAGTTCAAGGTCAGCCTGAACTATATAGTGAGACCACAACAAACAACACGCTTTTTTTTTCTCATATACATCTCATGTCCAATCCAGGTTGTCAGGGCATGGGGCAGCTGTATTCATGGTAGGCCAGGAGTTCAGGGTGATGGGGATGATAAGGATTCATAATTTGTGCTTCTACAATGTCAAGCAGTAAAAGAAAATGTGGTGCATTATACAATAGCCCTTAAAGCGCAAGTTATTTTTGTTCACATTCATTGGTGAAAGCAAACCACATAACTACATCTTCAGTCATGTGTCACTTAATGCCCAGGATGCCTTCTAAGAAGGGCATCAGGTGCTTTGGTCATTATGGAAACATTAGAGTGTCCTTATATGAACCTAGATGGTCCAGGTCCACCACTCCACATGGCCTCTTGAGGCAATAAAGAGACTCAGTAAACACAAGATGAATGAGGCCGGCATCTATTGTTCCATAAGCTTTTTATAGGTAGGAGTGCACATTAAAATAACCATAGGGCCAGGAGCAATAGCATGTACTATAATTCCAGCTCTCCAGAGCCTAACACAGGAGGATTGCTTGAGCCCAGGTGTTCCAACCCAGCCTGGACAACACAGAGGATATCATCTCAGAAATAAATAAAAGAAAATAATCAAGTATAGTAAATTCATAAATCAGAAACATAGTGGTTTCTTTGTTTTGTTTTGTTTTTGTCTTTTTGAGACAGGGTCTCACTGCAGTTCAGGCTGGCTTTGAGCTTACTTTGTATCACAGGCTGGTCTCTAACTCATAATGATCCTCCTGCCTCAGCCTCCTGAGGGCTAGGATTACAGGCATAAGCCACTGTGCCCAGCTATTACTGTACTTCCACAAGACTGGCAGCACAGTAGATTGGTATATACAGCTTCATAACAAACACGTGAGTAACATGTTGTGCTATGGTGTTATAACAACTCCATGGTCATTGAGTAATAAGAATTTTTTAGCTTCATTATAATCTTGTGGGACCACCATCCATTTTGGCCACTGACTGAAATGTCATTATGTGTTGCATGTCCTATAGTGCTACTCATATTTTCCAAAGGTGAATGTAGCAATATGCTCTCGTCCCTCAGGCACTTCTGCAATGTGACCTTGTCACTTGCACATGAAAAGATAGTCTGATTTCCTTCCCCTTGAATTTGGTCTGCCCTTGCCCTGCTCTTCATGACTCTCACCATCAGTAGAACATGGTGCAAAAGGTACAGGTCAAGGTCTGAGGCCAGGTCAGGAAAAGCCACACAGCACAATTCTCTTGGCATATTTGTTCTTCTGCTTTCTCATGGGCTATTTCCCTCAGAACCAGCCGCTGCTGTGAGAAGTCCACGCCAAGTGAAGAAGCCACATGTGGCTGCTGTGCTTTGCATGACAGTCGCAGCTGAGCCTCGTCTTCCGGTTTTCCCACCTCAAGCATCAGACCTATGAGTGAAGAAGCTTCCAGAAGGTTCCAGTGGCTGGTCCTGTAGCCATCCCTGGCTGACAAGCCTGCCATTGTGGAGCAAACAGCAGTCACCCCTGCCAAATTCTGCCTGAATTCCCAACCCACAGAATCCATCAGCCTAAAAAAAAAAAATCCAAAACAAAAAAAACTTCTTGTAAGCCACTACATTTAAGTGGGTTTTTTTCTACACACAAATAGATACCTGGCATAGCAGTTTAAGATGATTCTAGCCATCTCTGCCACCTGATCATCACACTCTGATGTTCTCCTCTCCCCTTAAACACTGACCAGAAAGTGATGGCATGTCATTTCCAAGATTAGGTCACTAAAAGTCTGACTAACAGTTTCATTTTCTTTACACTCTCTTCTAGCTCAGT